GGGCCCGGGGGCATCCTCGCCCGTCTCGGGCCCTAGTCGGCGAGGCTCGGCCCCCGACCCTGCCATGAGGAGGCGCGGGGAGGACAAGGGGGATCGAGGAGAAGAAGGGTTGGGAAGAGGAAGAAGACGAGGAGGAGGAGGAGGAGGAAAAGGAGGAGGGGCCGGGGGTGGGGGGCGGGCGGGCCGGGCCGGGCGGAGGCCGGCCTCTCCTCTACTCGCTCTCGTCCATCCCCTCTTCCGACGAGGCGAGATCTCCCCGCCCTCTCCCCCGCCCTCTCCCCCCCCCATCCCCCCCCGATCTCCCCCCGATCTCCCCCGCCACCTCCCCGCCACCTCCCGGCCACCTCGCCGCCGCACACTCCCTCACTGGTCGAGCTCGGTGCGCGGGGGCAGGAGGGAGGCGCCGACGAGGAGGCGGAGCGGGTGGCGGCGGCACTTGCGGCGCGGGGGGCGGCGGGCCGGCCGGCCGCCTTTCTTCCTGCGGCCGAGTTTGCGGGCGCGCGGCAGGGGTACGCATACAAGGTGGGGCCGCTGGGGGTGGGATACTACGTGGACGGGGAGGAGGAGGAGGAGGAGGAGGAGGCGGCGGGGGGGGCCGCGGCGGCGGCGGCGGCGGCGGGGGCGAGGCGGCGGGCGGCGGGCGGGGGCGGGAGGGGCGAGGGTTGCGAGGTGCGGCTCCTCGACCGGCAGTTTGAGCGCCTGATATGCGACTACTCTGACGACGAGATTGGAGAGCTCGAGCAGGACGACCCGACCGTCCAAGGCGCGAGATCTCGGCCCGAGATCGGCGCGAGATCCGCCCGGGATGAAGCGAGATCCGCCCGGGATGCAGCGAGATCTGCCCGGGATGCAGCGAGATCCGCCCGGGATGCAGCGCCCCCACTGACAGGCGGGCGCGCCGGCCCGTGCGCGCCACACCACCATGCGGGGCGCGAGAGAGACGCCCCCGTTGAGTCCGCTCTGCACTCGCTCCGCCTCGCCACCGCCCCCGGCCGCTGCCCCGCCCTGCCTTGGCGGCGGAGGCTGGCGGTCGGGTGCGTGGCGAGGGGCCGCCCTGTGTGCGTCGCGGAATAGAGGGCGGCGACAGAGCGGGACCCCCCCTCCGGCT